GGTTAGATTGGCAGAGATTATTACTGGTAAAGTTTCATTAATTCCTAGGTATGCATACTTCAAATATGATGGAAAAGTTTTAAGCTCCAATTTGGGTGCATGTTGTAAAGATGTTTATGAAGATTAACTTCATCAAAATCTAAGGTTTGAATTTCACCTGATCTATTATGAAAGCCTCGATTGTTCCTTTGTCTTTCCTTCATGTTTTGCATTGGTTTCGTTTACAAGGAACCCATTGAGTGACTTATTTAGATTTTTGTCGTCAGTGCCATACTTCTCAGAATCGTCTTCTGAAAATAATTTGCCTGGCCAAGGTTTTCTTGTTTGTGCATCACGGTTAGAGGCTCGTGGCACAAAGCGTTGTATTCGTCTAGCTTTAAAGATTCATCGTGGCCAAGAATTATCTTTCTTCCTCTCTTTAAAGTCACTTTTCTAATTATTGTCATTCTTCCGAGTCGTCCACATATTTCATGGAATTAAAGAAATTGACTGTGACGCTTTGCTCTCCTACTCACATTGTGAACTCTCCCTTTTCGCAATCTATTAGGATTCTTTTAGTGGCTAAAAAGGGTTGTCCTAGATGATAGTGAATTTTTATCAGCTTCACAGTCCAAGAGGAAATCAACTAAAATACGAACTTGTCCACCTTTACTATGTCGTCTTCTATTATGCCCTCGGCCGCACATAAGATCAATCGGCCAGCTGTAGGATATTGTGTTTGGATAAGCATGATACCCTTCTAGTTTCATAAATATGGACTTTGGTATCAAGTTTACACTTGATCCTAAGTCAACAAGAGTTCGTCCTACAAAATTATTACCAGTGGAACATATAATTATAAAACTGCCAGGGTTTTTTTTGTTTTGGTGGGAGTTTGCTTACTGCAGAACAAATTTCTATTGTCATCGCAACATGTTCTACCTTCCTCTTTTTGTAACGATGTCTTTAAGAAACATGGCATAGGAAGTCATTTGCTCGATGGCTTCAAGTAAGGGCACGTTGATATACAACTGGTCCAGAACATAAACGATTTCTTGAACTGGATTTCATCATTATGTTTCTTCAATCGTTGAGGCAACGGTGGTGGAGGTCTCACATTATTTGCAGTTGGTGCTGAGGAACTCTGGCCTTGGCCATGAATTTCTTATTTGGACGATTTTTCTGAGCCTTAATCCTTTTCCTTTTCTTCTGTCGATTCATCCCGTTCTTCATTTTTAGCTAGATCCTCTGGTTATGTTATTCCATGGCGAGAATTATTTAGGTGTTCTCTCCAAAACTTGTCATTTTGGTTGACTTGTGTTCCACTCCTTAGTGTAAGTACACTGCATTGCTCCTTTCCAAGATGCTTAGTGATTTCAGTATCACTAGGGAGATTTACTTGTGGGCGAGAATGTAATGCCGTAGTAATTTGTCCCACTTGATTCTCTACTGCTCTTAGAGATGAACTTTGGCTTTGCAAAAGTGTAGCTTGGCTTTGTAACAAATTTCCTTGGTTTTTAATTGTTGTAGAATGCTCGTGCATCAAGGTCTTTGTTGAGGCCATGAAATCTTTTATCGATGCCATAAATTTCTACAATGATAACTCCAAGGAGTTATTATTGGAATTAGTATTGGAGGAAGAAGATGTACCTTTATTGTTTTGCAAGAGCAGCTGATAATGTTGATTATGGAAATGTTGATGATCTGCGTTACTTTGTTGTGGCCTGTTGTAACTTGCTTCTTAATTGTTACTGTTCCTTTGATTACTCCATAAAAAGTTCGGATGTTGTCTCCAACCAAGATTGTACGTATTTGAATAGGGCTTATTAGTGCTCCAATTGTAATTGCCCACAAAATTGGTGGACACGTGGTTTTCCAGACACTACCTCTCATGATGGTTGCCCTGAAAAAATATGCATGTGTTATTCGTCACCTTGACTTCTCTTACCTCATTAGGACGTTGCAAAGTTTTCAAGATATTAGTTATGGTAGAAAGATAAGCAGCTACCAAATCCTTACCCTCTAATTCATATGCTCTAGATGTTTTTTTGTCGGTTCTCAATCTTGTATTTGGGAATTGATAGTCATTATTTGCTATCATGTCGAGGATATCAAAGGATTCCTCGGGTGATTTGTCAAGTAAGGTGTTATTTGCTGAGGCATCTAACATCATTCGAGTGGGTGCATTAACTCTGTTGTAAAACATCGCTACTTGAGTCCATTCTTGAAACCCATGGTTGACACATTTACGAAGTAGACTTTTATACCTATCCCAACATTCGTACATTGATTCATCATCTCCTTGGTGAAAACTTACAGTCATTGTGAAGCTGTGTATTCATATTGGGCGGATTGTATCGAAGTAGGAAACTCTTGCATAAATCTGCCCATGACTCCATGAGCCTGAAGGAGCTCCAATGAGCTAAGCTCTTGCTTTATCGCATAGGGAATAAGGGAAAAGTTTTAGTTTAAGTACATCTTCATGCACTCCTTGTTGTCGAAACGAGTCACATACTTCAAGGAAAGCACGAATATGTTATCTAGCATCCTCATTAGGTGAACCACCAAATGGCAATAGAATTTAGCATATTAAACATTACCGGTTTAAGCTCAAAATGAGTTGCTTGTATTTCAGGTATCATGATGCCTGGATTGATATCTTCAAGAATTTGGTTCAAATGGCCTCGTATTGCTCTTGGTCTTGCAACTTGGAGATTGATTGCTACTTCGGGATCATCGTGATCTCCCATATTGTTGCCATGTAATTGTAGTTGGTTTAAATATTCTCTAGTTCTTTGGTCACGTCGCCTTTGTCTGAACGATTGTTCAACTTCAGGGTCGAATGGTTCCAATGCTTTACCAGTAGATCTCAGGGTCATGCAATAATAAAAACCTACAAAAATAAAATACGTTAGACTAGATAAATATAAGGTGACAAGAAAAATTTGTTATGGCGAAAATAAAAATTTCGTCAGTTGTCAATCCCCGGCAACGGTGCCAAAAACTTGATCGCTTGTAAATGTATATGCTAAGGCAAACAACTCTGTGCAAGTATACACAATCGAATCAAGTAATATAGGGTAAGCGAGTATCGTCTCCTCAACGATTAGTTGGAAGTTTTTAAGCTTCACCACAACCAGAACTAGTTGTCACAAACTAATTCCTACTATCTTGTCAAACTAGAAAACTACTATTAATAAAACAAGAAATTACTATAAAGTATGATTGTAGAAAAGTTTCATCGAGACAAAATAAATATGCAAACTATTAAAATAAAACAGAACAAAGACAAACGTTGATTTAAATATAATTCAAACAACCTTGCATATTCAGACTTACCACACAACATTCATGCTAATATTTTACATTGAAACAATTACTCTAAGTCCAGAATGAATTATTATGATTTGCTTAAGCTGTCCGATCGGATTACTAAGTATTCTTAGACAGTTGCTATGGCAAAACTACTCAATGTTAACTACAACCTTTGGTTTGTCAGACTGTTGTTGTAGCAATACCTCTCAGCGTGAACTATAGTCATTATCTATCCTACTCTAGCATCTATCACTTTTAGTCGATTGAAACCTGCTCGTTATCTCTAAGGTAGACAAGTTAGAACATCACCATCTCGGATCCATTCCATTGTTCACGTAAATCTATCTTAATTCTCTCGAATCTAAGAATCACTATCTAGACAAAATGCGATCTCTTGATGCTCTTACAGTGTCAAGACATGTTTTACCAAGACCCTAAGAAATCTCTCGAAGCTCATACAATGTCAAGGTAAAACATTCAAACAATGAACAAAACAGTCATAAGCAGAATTATAATTCATTATTCATAAAGTATAAAATAATTGTCTAGGCCAAACAAAGATTAACACCAAGTAAGACAGTCATTGTACTATCAAAAAGTCATCCAAGTAGCATCGTTTAATACAACCCCAAACACATAAAAAATTTAAGAACAAATGAAGAACGACTCCAAAAAACCGGAAGCTCTGTCGTGACAATTCTGATCAGCATCACGCCTGCCTTGGTGATCAGCCTCTCTCGAGACCTGACCACTGCTCTGCTATAGACTGGCTATGAAAGACACCAAGGAAGGTCGGTTGGTAAACGGTGAGAAAGCACTGTAGTTGCTCGCTCAGGCCTTCAGTAAATCGCTTCTCACTTCCTCTTTCTCTTTGGCGGCTACAGTTGAATATTTATAGAGAGGAATCTTCTAGGGTTTCACATGATTAGAGATTCCTTAAATAATCATTATTATTTTGTCCAAACTAAAAACGGAAAGGTGGCTGGCGCCTATTAGAATATTTAGGGTTTGCTTACACGTGAAGGAGGTCATCCAGCTGGCATGTGACATAGGCGATTTGGTCATATCCACTTCAGACTTTACAGATAAACCTTGCCTTGACGAGATAAATTTGCTCCTCACGTTCTTCTCTATTCCATTAGCCCTTGCAACTTACGTTGTCGTGACTGAAATGTTCTTCCTCTTTAAGTTTCCTGCACACGCACAATCCACACAAACCATTTCTCCTTAACAGCATCAGTTAAACCAAATAAATCTTGTCGAAGCAAAACTTATCCACCACAAGCAAACATAACCTAAATGCAACTAAAATGAGGTGCATACTTTGTTTAGACGAACAATAACTTAAGTCAAAAGACTATAGATTGAGTCTTTTTACGGAGTTATCATTATTCCTTGTATTCAAAACTATAAATGAACATAATACCTTAAAAGAAGGCTAGTTGGACCAATTTCAACACCTTTTCTTGCCTTAGCATTCACTCTATTAAAAAAATTACTCAGCCATGATGAGAAGTCCTTGTTCCATGTTAAATAAAAACTGTAAAGGTTACAAAAATTGAAAAGACAAGTGACAGAAGTTCAAGAATAGAAATATGACAAGCATAATAGTGACAACAAAGTAATTCTAATATTTACTTCATTTATAGAATGCATCTAGTACAAAAATAATTACAGTGAAACTTATGGTATTGGTGCCCTACACCCATGAATGAAACCATTAAAAAACCTAGATGTTTACTGTATCACCAGTCACAATTCGAAAGACTACCTTCCACAATTGGTTTCAAACCAGCTTGTCCACTAGGTTCTGAAAAGTGATTTTCTATAATTCTTAAAGAAGCATCTTTATACCATCCACTGTTCTCTCTTCCAAGATCTCCCTCCCCAATATGTATGGATTTATTAGTCTTGAGAAGATTCTAGTCCTGTAGATAAGTCTGTAAGGGGGCGTAACTCAGATAAACAATAACTTTCAATTAGTTCTCGGAAGTAACAAAGTCTAGACTATGAATTGAATATGGTTATAAGGACTATCAATTTTCCCATAACTTTGAAGTTCATCTTGTGCATTGATCACCTACCTAATAGTAATTCCCCATGCTAAAAGCACCAGGCCTCAGACATGCAAACTTTCAGTAAGTGGGCTGCTGATTCTCAGCTTTCTTCTTCTTAGTAGCTTCAAGCTCTTGCTTTTTGGCAATTCTCATTCTTCATTCCTCTTGTTCTTCTTCAACAATTACCCGGGAATCAAAGCCTTAACTTCTTCACCAATTTCTACCCAAAAAATCATACGAAAAAAGAGAAAATTAGGAAAACAAATTTCACTTAATATCTAATAATCCCTAAACAAGAACCAAAAAAGGGTTGTCTTACTAAAGCTTTTCACTACATAAGATCTTCAGAAAAAATTAAACAGAGAAAATCCCTTTGTTTTCTAATAAGCAATTGTTTATAAAAATGGAATTAGAGTGAGTACTGTGGCATTTCATTGACTGATAAAGCAATATCAATACAGAGATAAACAAACATTTAATATCATTTAAGCATTAAATCTAACAATGAAGGGTTAATAATATAAATGAATCAACACAAGCACTTCTGTTATAGAGTGTTTGATCTCAACAATTGTATCATGGTATGTAGGCATGATTAATGTAGGAAGTTTGAATATTCATTTGTTTCTAGAACTATTTCACCTTCAAAATAGGTTCAACCCTAAAATAGTTTCTACTAAGCAAAGATTAACATTCGCGATAAGCAATAAATATATAAAAAAAACACACAATCCAAAATCACAAATTAAATTCATCACATCGAAATAACCCAGGCTTAGAGAGGAAACTGAAAAATAAAATTGAAAAGACTAAAGGTTGGAGAGAGTCTTGAGACTAAAAGAGAGAGAAGAAACTTAAAGAATACCTGAATTTTTAAGCCTTGAGGAGTTACGGGCGACGAGATAGTAGTGACTATCAACGAATGGTGAATACTGAAACTAGTGAAGAACTCGATTTAATAAAGCTAATCTACTGTTGAGGATGGAGGAAGAAGAAGTTAAAAAGAAAAATTAGGGATCGGGCACGAGATAGATGGGGGATATATCTAGCAACAATTATTAGACAAATATCACTAATGTATGTGGATATAGCGTTGTTTCTCCAGAAAAGCCGAGATGTTTTCTTCATTGAAGATCATACTATTGATGACATTTATAAGACTAAGAAAGTGGATTCACAATATAGCGTGACTTGATTAAAGTAAATCTGGTTCCCCTATACCCTTCACCAAATCCTATTCAGGATGATGTTTGCAATGATGTTTGTTGTAATTGATTTTTGGTGAACGACATGTCTCAATTTATTTTTGTGAAAATTTTGATTTTTGTAAAAGAAGTGTTTTGGAGTTGCTATCGACCTTTTAGGTCAAATAAATCGAATACCCATAAACCACCTTTTAAAAGAGTTTTTAAGAAAACAACATTTTAAAAAATAAACCAATCTACGTATAACCAGAAATTTATTCTTTTTTTGTAATAAAAAGGTGTTCGAGTCGATTACACCTAAAGAAGGATAAACACTCTCACAACACCCAAAATTCAATCATATAATTTTTATTTAACGGGAAATTCTAAGGAGAAATAGAAAATATTCTAATATTTTCAATCGAAGAGAAAATAATCTCTAAAATACTTTAGGACGAATATTTCTCTTTCCAACTGAAATAAAAGAATATAATAATTTCTCCCAAAAAACAGATATTAAAATAATTTAATTCTACCAAAATAAAAAATTAAGCCAATTTGAACAAATTTAGTTAATCATGCTAGATGATGAAAGTTTAAACTTGAATGACAAAAATATAAACACAATAAAAAACAAAGACCCAAAAAATAAGTATCACACAAATATAAGTGCTTAAATAAAATCATAAATAATGTAAGGATAAAAATACAAGATAGCAAAATAAGGCATTCATTGTGATAAAAATATGAAACATGCAAATATACTCATGGGACTAAAATAAAATAAACAGAAAATAAAGTGCAATAATCAAAGGACTAAAATTAAAGTACTGAAAAATGAAAGGAAAAAATAAAATATAGAAAATTAAATTAATGATATTAAAGAACTAAAATTAAATAAATAAAAAATAAAAGGAAGAAATTTAAATGCACATAAACTTAAATAACTACAATAAATGGGCAATAAAAATAAAATGTTAATGTTAATTTTTAATATTTAATATTTAACAAGGACCGTAAATAATGCGAGTCATACCCCGGGGCGGGTCATCGCAAGGTCGTACTATGGTTCGAACACAAAAAAATACATAAAAAAAAAATTAGCGGTTAGTGGTTAGATGTTAGTGTTAGAAATGTTAGCAGAGTCTAGACCATAATAATGTGGGTCGTACCCCGAATCGCGTCACCGCAAGGTCGTATAATAATTCAAACAAATTAATAAAAATTAACAGTTAGGAGTTAATAGAGTTCGGACCATAATAATGTGGATTATACCCCAGATCGGGTCACCACAAGATCGTTTAATAATTAGGAGCGATAAAATAAAAGTTAATGGTTAATTAATAAATAAAATAAAATAAAACAGAACCAAATACACATAAAAATAAAAAAAATAGCGCATAGAATCGAACATAATTAAATACCAGTGGGCAACATAATCGAATGTAAATGCAAGTAATTAAAGCGACCAGCAGATGGCCAAAATGTAATAAAATAATAAAATATCAACTAAATTATAACAAATAAAATAGCAAAAATAGTGACCAAATTGAAATAAAATGAAAACAGGGTTAAAAAAAATAAATAAAAACACAAAAATACAGTGACCGAGATGCAAATATAAGGAAGAAGTGAAGGGACCTGAGTGTAATTTTCATCTAAAACAGGTGCCGAGAAAATAAAAGTGATTAAAATGAGGGGGTCTAGGTATGATTTACCCTTTTTTAAAACCAAAAATATTCTCCCCTCACGCACAGTTTGGTCGAAAAGCTTACCAAGCTTCAAATCTCACCTTCGATCGTCGCATGCCAACCCTCACACGTCGTCCACTAAGTTGGTGACCACCCTACTCCAACCTGTGATCTCTACCATGACCGAAGAAGGGCAGAACGAATAACTTGCTCACCTCGTTTAAACTTGTTCTATCTCTCCCTATACGACAGAGAAGGCTTAAAACCGAGCCTCAACATCGGCCACCAAGCCTTGGTGACCCCCTCACTCCCTCATGATCGGCGTCAACCAACCAGCGAAGACCTAAATGACATAAAAAGGTCCCCCAACTTTCGGTCATCACTCACAAACCAAGCCTCGAAAATAAACTCCCAACGTCAACCTATCGGTCGAAACTCCCAAAGACCTCTGAGGTCATCGCCGGACACCAACCATCGACGTTGCTTGACTGTAAGTCAGTCTTCCTCGTACGTCGGCCACTGTTCAACAATAGCCACCCCTTATGCCACAAATGACTACAAATAAAGAAAGCAAAATAAAGAAAGCAAAATGGAGAAAAAAAATCAAAGAATCCTATATTTTTATTCCAATTTTTTTAGGGGAAAGGGGTTGTTATAAAGCTGGTTAGGGTTATTATAACCCCAACTAATATAATATTTTATTATTATTAATAAATATATTTTTATAATAATAATAAAAATAAAGAAAAAAGGGAATAAAAAATGTTGATTACAGCTGTCCCTCTTTACTCATCAATGTGAAACGGGAATGAAGCAAAGATAATAAACACCATTTTTTATTCAGCCTGAACTGTTAAAATCTTGAGCTTTGATTTCTTCTGATTGGGTGAGTTATTCTCATTATGAACTCTTTGTTGGGGATGCCAATCCACTCTCTTATGCGATGGTTGACCAAAGGTGATGCTGATCCAACTCCTTATGTGATGGACGAGCGAAATGATGATGCTGATCCAACTCCTTATGTAATTGGTAAGCAAAAGTCGGTGTTGTTCCAACTCCTTATGCGATGGAAACAAGTTAAGGTTGAACAAGTTCTTCTCATTATGAACTTCTTCTCCCTTATCGTATGAGTTCTTCTCATTATGAACTTTCCACTGGAAATATTGATCCCTCAAGTGAGGTGTTGATGATTCAACTCCATATGTTATGAATCGAGCTAAGGTTGAACAAGTTCTTCTCATTACAAACTTCTTCTCCCTTATCAGACGAGTTTTTCTCAATATGAACTCTTCACTGGAAATGTTTATCCCTCGAGGAAGGTGTTGCTGATTCAACCCTATATTTATGAATCAAGATAAGGTTTAACAAGTTCTTCACATTATCAACTTCTTCTTTCAAAAATATTGACCCAACTCTTTTGCAATGGTTGACCCAAGGTGATGTTGATCCAATTTCTTATGTGATGGATGAGCCAGGTGATATTGATCCAACTCTTTCTGGAATTTTTGAGTCATGGCTTCAAATATATTATCTTTTCTTCATTCTCTTGGTTCATATACCAACAAGTTTGGATCATGTGGCTTCTCTTCATCCGTATTTCCTTGAAGTTTTATAGTTGTCATTGTTTCTTTTGTATTTTTTGACAACCTATTGATACATATAATGATTACACGTGGTTACTCAAGTTCGCTTGGATTATCTTGTTCAAAAGTAGCCTCTTGTGTTACAAAATTATTCATGTCAAGTTCTTTCTCCATTTGTGCAGAAGCCTCTTTTCCTTTGCCCATCACAACTATTATATCCATCATCTTGGACATTTGCTCCCTTATTTGTTTCATTTCACTTTGATGTTCATTAGACATGCAATCTTTGGACATACAACTCTCTACTCTTCTCGAAACATCTTTCAGATGTCATTTCCTAGTTGTATCGTGGCCTACCTGATCATGAAACCACTTGTCCATTGTGAAAATCTTTTAATTGGTGATCACTCAAAATCGACACCCTTTTGCATATGGCATTACCATATGATGCAAGAAAAAGAAATGTAGAAAGAAAAATGGTTAGGACATATATCAACAGGTTCGAAAATTTTGTTAGCAAAAATAATAATCAAAGAGAGGAAATATGTGTTATTGAAATATGAAAAGATTAAATTCAACTAGTAAATTAACCATAAAATACAGTGAATAAAGCACACAAAAGAAATTAAAACCCTAACCACATATTTTCTACTTCACGTGAATTTATTCAAAAATAATTTATTGAATAAATTAAAAGAGGATGGTTAGAGTTCATTTCTCCTTTGTGTACACTTATTTGGGTACCTATGGACAGAGTTTTGGCATGGTCTTAGGTCGAGTGGGTTTCTACAGTTTACTATATGCAGAGTTTTTGTTCTAGAAGTAAAGGTACTCGAATTGTCCTTGTTTGTGCCCCCTTGGGCAAGCCAAACCCTCAATCCTCACCCATTATAAGTTTAAGTAGATTGAGTTCAATTCGAGATGGCACGTTTCCCTATGTCTGACACGTAGAATAAATCCTCATGAAGACATAGGGCAGATGAACCCTGGAAGCTACTTGCTAGGTCTGAAATGACGAATAAATTCTCACGAAGACGTCACTTTCACTCCAACTTAAAAGGTAAGGGCTCGGTATAGAGCTTATGTTATGTAATACAAGTATTGTGTGTGAGGAGAAATTCTTAAACCTTTTTCAATCAACAACACAAAAATCGAACTAAAGCGAATCCAAAATTTTAATATATGAAAATAATCAAATACAAACATTAGTATACAAGGATATAAAATAAATAAAAAGTTGAAAGAAATCAAAAGAATCGTGAATTAAATAGAATTGAATTCTTAATTTCCAACTATAGAGAAAATATATAATTGATTTAGGGCTTGATCAACCAAGTCCTAGTGGAGTCACCAAGCTATCGTAATCGATTTTCGGTGATACGATGTGTCTCGACTTATTTTGTGAAAAATTCAATTTTTATAAAATAAATGTTTTGGAGTCGTCATTGACCTTTTGGGCAGGTAGATTTAATACCCATAAATCGCCTTTTAAAAGGGTTTTTAAGAAAACATCATTTTAAAAGATAAATAATCTATGTATAACCATAAATTCATTTTTTTGTAATAAAAAGTGGTTCGGGGTCGATTACGTATGGAGAATGATAAATACCCCCACAACGCCCAAAATTGGTACCCCATATATTATAAAT